ACCTACATTACATTTTTAAAGTTAACTTTCTTCTTAAAAAAAATTACTTTGTTATTCTTTCTTGTTTTTTTTTTCTTTTTTTAAAAATCACTTTACGGAAGCGCGTAGTGATTTCTGCAAGGAATTTCTGTAAAGGAATTAAATAAGCCCAAATTTTATGACTCTATCAAAAATCTTTCTGCAGTGAATTACTTCTCAATAAGCCGGTAATGGCAGACGAAAGACTGGTCGTTAACATCCAAAAAGGTAGGTTTCTTCATGATTTAAATTGTTGATTTGAGTTCAGCATGTACATTGTACATTTGCACGGAAAAGACTATTTTGATAAAATTTGAAGGGATATTAGCGATCGGGAAACAAAATGAAAATTTACCAAAAAAAACTAAAACAGGAATCAAAACCAAAAATTCAAGTGTTACAAAAGATTACAATTTTTTAAAAATAATTAAAAAATACTTTGGTCTTTCCTCTTATTAATAACAAACTTTTTCACGATAAACACATTAGTCTATCGTGCATAAATAAACGTCATTAAGTTATAAGTAAAAAGTAAACATCACCTTTTTACAAAATCCAGTTAATTAATACTTAAATTTACTAAATGAAGTCGAAACATAGGATAAATATTGGATTTAAGAGATTTTTAAATTTGTTTCCACTTTTTCATCTTTAATAGTAATAGCGATTCTACTTTTAAAAATACCTTAAATAATTATTTATTTATATACGTAAATTAATTTTTTCTTTTCATTAGTATTAGCTTTTGGCTAATCATCTTTGAAAAGAATCGGAATTTCTTTCAAAGCAGACATTTAAATGCTTTTTTGTGGGACTTTTAGGAAGACTTAGTCGGTTCGTCTAACTTACCTCTTCCGGCAAATCTCTAAAAAAAATCAAACAGGATTAAGTTGTTGTTGTTGGTGGTGGACTTGATGTTTCTTTTTCAAGCTTGACAAGATTTTCTAATCAATAAAATTTCCTATTTGTAAGGAAATTGCAATTAAAAAAAGATTCATTATTTTAAAAGACATGTCTCTGCTGAACGGAACAAAGGAATTACAGGAAACGGTGCAAAAGAAGAATTTGTCCCTTGCTTGAAAATAGTCTGGGTGCATACAATATGACATAATAACATGTATCGCAGTCTCAATTTGTTTTAGTAGTCATAATTATTCAGAATAATTAAAAAAAATATGTATATTGGGTTCAATTAGATATTTTTAATATCAATCTGTTTTGAAGATAAAAAAAGCAATTTATTAAACTCAAAATTATCAAGTATCATTTAAGAAAGACTATAAAGAGTACATTTTTTTTTATTTTTGTGTATGTCGATTTTGACTTTTGAGTATATTTCAAAGGGGACAACAGGCTCATCTTGACCACCACCCATTGTGCCAAATATTGAGGACATCATTCTTCAGGCCAAGAAAACGGTTGATCTCCAATCCAAGAAGGTCCGGAATCCAAAATTCTAAAAATTAAAATAGTCTTCATTTTGGTATAGGATAAGCCTCTGGCAATAAAATCAGCAGGGTTCTATCCAGTAGGCACATATTTATATTGAATGGATACATTTAATTCTGATGTTAATTCAGCTTCCATTTAATGTCTTTCAGACATATTTTGGAAAAAAAAAAAACTTTCTTCTTGGTTTGTCTTTTAAGTAACCACGATAGCACAATCTGTGCATCTACCACAATTTATGTTTTTGAAGGGTACACCAGAATATACCTTTCAATATACACTGCTAAAAGCTCCGGCATGAGTAAAGTTTTTAATTTGAGCGGTGCTACCTTGGCTTTGAAAAAAAAACCCCAAAAAACAAAGAAGAGACACCTGAGTATCATAGGCTGCAAAACAAAATGCTTTTTTAGGGGCATCGAGGGAATAGAAATACAGGGGTTGGACAAAATAATCGGAACAGTTGCAAAATCCACTCCTATATTTCAAAGACCTATTATATTAAGAACTTTAACTTGTTGCAGACCCGGCAGCGTGCAGTGCTGGTTTATTACTAAGTGGCCTTGTGCCAGACACCACACTAAACTACCGAGTCTACAAGCAAAGTAAAAAGATAAATGTGTGCGTGAATGAACAGTGAGAGGAAAGGGGTCAATCAACAAGTGCATAAAATAAAATATATTAAGATAGTCGACACAGAATGATAGGAAAAGGACTGGATTCTAACGAGAGTAATTTTTATTAAATGCAGGAAAAAACAAGTAAATTATCCCGAGTCGGGATCAATGAAAAAGTTCCGCGCCAAAAGTAGAAAACAAGATGGCCAAAGGCGGGAATGGTTCTTGAAGAAGAAAGGTTCCAGTAAGTCAATGTACATGGTAATATTCATACAAGGAAAAATACTCACTGCGAGTTCTTAGGTAATGTGAGTGAATGTTATGTACATATTTTTTTTTTCCTTTTTTTTTTTGTACTGGTTCAAAACAGATTTCTGACGAGACCCAAAGTGGACGACGGATTATTTTGTATGTTCTGCATCGTCTCGGAAAAGGACTTTGAATGACGAGTCACAAAGGGCCGAAAAGTTAATTCTTTGGTATATGCATCATCTCGTAGAAGGACTTTGAATGACGAGTAACAAAGGGCCGAGGAATTAATATTTTGGTTGTTTTGCATCATCTCGGAGAAGGATTTTTGAATGACGAGCCAAAAGGGACGCAGAATTAATATTTTGTGTTTTTATTGGTTACCTGTTGAATACGAAGTTTCTGCCGACGACTGTGTCGTGTCTCTGACGTCTTCGGGTCGAAAACGGAGAAGGTCTGATCTGCGATTAGCAAGTTGTTCGTCAGTAGGATATCCCTGTCTGTATTTATTGGTTCACTGACGAGGGATAAAAATGAGCCATTAGTTGAATACGAAGTTTTGCTCACGACCGTGTCGTGTGTCTCTAAAACGTCTTCTGGTAGAAAACGGAGATGGTCTGACCTGTGATTAGCTTCAAGACGAGAAGAAGTCTTGGTAGAGTGTGAAGTCGCCATTGTCGAAATAAGATATTCCGGCCCGCATATGGGTTAAGGGCACGGAATAAATGAGTTGCCCATCTAGTCGGGTCGAAAGTCGAGAGGCAACTGGCTTGCAAACGCTGGCCGTTTTAGACGCCGCGAAACGCGCGGGAAAAAATTCAAAATCTATCATGAGTTCATCAGCAGGAGCCAACGAGTTTACTGCTACATTTAGCTGTGAGTGAAAGGTAGGGGTGAAAACACGCGCGCACACACGCACGAGTGTGAAAGGAAGGGAGGAAACTCGCGCGCGCGTAAAATATAAATGGAATTAATGTGTTAATTCCATAAACTAAACTTTGTAATTGCAGGTTATATCTATTGCAAATACGTTTATTTATCTAATTTAATGTCTTTGACTTATTTTTTTGGAATAATGTATTATTCCATCTACGACATTTTACGCGCGCGCGAGTTTCCTCCCTTTCTTTCACACTCGCGGGCGCGCGCGCGCGTTTGACACCCCTTTCTCCCTCGTTCGGTCTAATACAGTAGTAACTGTTTTTGGTCACCAGTCAAACGACCTGTTATGCAAATTAGATTTTTGAAATCTTCCCGCGAAAAATTTGTGACGTCAACGACAAACTGTTGTTTCAAAAAAAGTTCAGTTGTGATCCAGACTCGGACCTAAGCAGACTCATTTTTTAGCCATGTCAATATGCAAGGTTGACTGACGAAGGATATCTTACAATGCAAACACCAAATAATTAATTCTTCGTCCCCTTTTGGCTCGTCATTCAAAGTCCTTCTCCGAGATGATGCAAACATCCAAATAATTAATTCTTCGTCCCTTTTGACTCGTCATTCAAAGTCCTTCTACGAGATGATGCATAGACAAATAATTAATTTTCGGCCCTTTTGACTCGTCATTCAAAGTCCTTCTACGAGATGATGCAGAACCAAATAAAATCGTCCTTTTCGTCCGTCTTTGGGTCTCGTCATAAATCTGTTTTGAACCAGTAAAAAAAAAAAAAAAAAAAAAAAAAATACATAACATTCACTCACATTACCTAAAAACTCGCAGTGAGTTTTTTTTCCTTGTATGAATATTATCATGTACATTGACTTATCTGGAACCTTTCTTCTTCAAGAACCTTCCCGCCTTTAGCCATCTTGTTTTCTACTTTTGGCGCGGAACTTTTTCATTGATCCCGACTACGGGATAATTTACTTGTTTTTCCTGCATTTAATAAAAATTACTCTTGTTGGAATCCAGTCTTTTTTTTTGTCATTCTGTGTCGGCTATCTTAATATATTTTATTTTATGCACGTGTGGATTAACCACATTTCTTCGTTGTTCATTCACGCATATTTTTATTTTTTTTACTTTGCTTGTAGACTCGGTAGTTTAGTGTGGTGTCTGGCACAAGGCCACTTAGTAATAAACCAGCACTGCACCCTACCGGGCCTGCAACAAGTTTGGTGACCCGAGACGTGAATTGAACACGCAATAATTTTGCAACCTTGCCAACATAATTCTGAGCAAGCTGAAATATAAACGTGCATAAATTCGATAGCCAGAATGACGTCTAATGACTCTGAAGAGTTGGCGAACATGGCCGCCGCCGTCACTCCTTTTCCCCCATTTCATGAAGGGAATATAAAGAACTGGTTCCTACAAATGGAAGCTATCTTTACAGTCAGAAGGATTACAGACCAAAAAAACAAAGTTTGGCCACGTGGTGGCGGTTTTGCCACCCGCCATTGTCGACGAAGTAGCAGACTTCCTAGAAGCCGTTCCTGAAGTAGAACCCTACGCCCGGTTAAAAAAGCGATCTTACGGAGAATGGGCCGTACGGAGGAATCATTAATCCGGGAACTATTTAGCAACCTAACTTGCGATGGCAGGACTCCTCCCAACTCCTTCGTTATATGAAAAGCCGACTCGGCAAAAATACCATGGCTGACTCTATATTGAAAAGCTTGTGGCTGGACCGTCTCCCCACCACCATTACACAAATTTTGGCGCCCATGTCCGAAAACACCCCGATCGATCAATTAGCGGACGCCGCTGACCGTATTTTCTCGCAACTGGATCATCGGACAACGCCAGTACACAGTGCTGAAGCGACTGGGGACCACAGGTCCTTGGAAAAAAAACAGTGGAGGATTTGCAGCGCCAAGTTAGAGATTTAACGTTAGCTATAGAAAGCCATGGTCGAAGCCGGTTCCCCTCCCGCCGGCGCTTCAGAAGTCGACCTCGCTCGTCCAGTCGGAACAAGGATGCCACTTCTACTATGTGTTACTACCACCGACGATTTGGGTCTGCAGCACACTACTGCACCAAGCCGTGTTCCTATACTGCGGTCGCGGAAAACAAAACCGCCAGCGAGTGAAAGCGACTAATCTCGCTGGCAAGGCATTTTCACCAAAACTTAGTCGCCTTTTCTATGTGACGGATACACGTAATAATTTACGTTTTTTGGTTGACACCGGCGCTGCCATTAGTGTCTTACCCGTGCGTGATAAAGCACGTAAACAACCTTTCCAGCTCCGCCTACAAGCAGCAAATGGTTCCAGTATTAATACTTACGGTACGAAGTCCCTTACCCTAAACATAGGGATGCGACGAGACTTTACCTGGAATTTTACTGTTGCTGACGTCCAGATGCCGATATTAGGTGCCGATTTCCTGGCGCACTATGATCTAGCCGTTCGAATGAACAATCATTCCCTAACAGACAACTTAACAAGACTGTGTGTTCTTGGCACTTATTCTAAACTTACCACCACTGGCATCACCGTGGCAACGTGCCACAATAAAGAGTACTTAGACTTATTGAATCAGTACCAGGACCTCCTGCGTCCTGCTGGATCTATTGATTCAACTAAACATCAAACACAGCACTTTATTAAGACCACTGGTCAACCTGTTTTTTCCCGTCCTCGTCGTCTAGCACCTAACAAATTAAAATTCGCAAAGAAAGCTTTCGACGACATGCTACGAGAGGGTGTTATTCGTCCGTCCGACAGTCCCTACGCTTCCCCTCTTCATTTGGTACCTAAACCAGGAAAGGAAGACTATAGAATTTGTGTGGATTATAGAAGATTGAATTCCATCACCGTCCGGGATCGTTATCCAATCCCCCACCTCCACGATTTCACTTCTGGTTTACAAGGCGCAAAGATTTTTACTAAAATAGATCTCGCAAAAGCATATTATCAGGTGCCAGTAGCTGCTGCTGATGTCCCAAAAACTGCTGTTACTACACCTTTCGGTTTATTTGAATTTTTGAAAATGCCTTTCGGCCTTTGCAACGCAGCACAGACCTTTCAACGTCTTATGGACGAGGTTCTGCGTGGACTCCCTTTTTTGTTTTCGATTACATTGACGACATTCTGATAGCTAGCGAGGACGCTGCCTCGCATAAGCAACAACACCTACACGAAGTTCTTCAACGTTTGTCCCATTACGGATTTCGTCTAAACCTGGACAAATGTGTCTTCGGATCAGACCATATAGAATTTTTAGGACATCATGTCGATGCAAATGGAATTGCCCCTATAACTGAAAAGATTAAAGCTATCACTGAGTTTCCCGTCCCTGTTTCCATTAAACAGTTGAGACGCTTTATAGGGATGATCAACTTCTATCGGAGGTTTATTCCAAACTGTTCTAACATTCTGACTCCCCTTACCAACTTATTACAGAAGAAGAAGAATAAGACTATTATACTTGAGAATGAAGCCTTGGACGCCTTTCGAGCAGCTAAAACCGCTCTAGGCAATTTTTCTAAGCTTAGTTTCTTAGAGGACGACCCTCAATCGGATATCTACCTGACCACTGACGCTAGCGAAACAGCAATAGGCGCGGTCATTGAACAAGTCAGTCCTTCTCAACGTAAACCCCATAGCGTTCTTTTCCGCTAAACTTTCTCCTGCCCAGTCACGCTACAGTACCTTTTCTCGTGAACTGTTGGCTATTTTTCGTGCTATTAAGCATTTCAGACACCTCCTCGAAGGTAGGTCCTTCGTTATCTTTACGGACCACAAACCTTTAACGTCCATTATGTCCACCAATTCGGACAAATACACTTCGAGGGAAATCAGATATCTGGACTATATATCTCAATTTACTACTGATATTAGGTACATTAAGGGTTCGGATAACACTGTTGCCGATACCCTATCTCGTACTGAGATGTTCGGCGTGCATACTGATGCACTCAGTCAAGACTTGATCGCCGACGAACAGAAAGCGGACATAACTCTGAAGCAGGTGTTATCCGACACTTCTTTGGAACTTCAGAAATGTCCAGCTCCTTTTAGTAACAAGGTCCTATACTGTGATGTTAAATCCAAATCCCCAAGACCTTATGTTCCTCCGTCTCTTCGTAGACAGGTTTTTGACCACCTACACGGACTCTCACACCCTAGCAAAAGAGCCACAGTTAAGTTAATTTCGGACCGTTTCGTTTGGCCGAATATGAACGTTCACATTCGTGAATGGGTCAATACATGTTTACAATGTCAGAAGTGTAAGGTGCATAGACACACAAAATCTCCTGTGGGCACTTTCAGCGAGCCTGATGCTCGTTTTACTAATATACACCTGGACTTAGTTGGGCCCCTACCAACCTGCCATGGTTATTCCTACCTTCTAACTATAGTGGATCGTTTTTTCCCGATGGCCTACTGCCATCCCTGTCAAAGATACCACTGCTGTGACTGTCGCAAAAGCTATTTTACGCGATTGGATTTCGATTTTGGGACTCCTAAAGTGGTTACTACAGATAGAGGAGCACAGTTCCAGTCGTGTCTTTTCAGGGAATTCACTGAACTCCTTGGTGCAAAGCATATACGTACTACAGCGTATCACCCCTGTGCTAATGGGCTGGTGGAACGATTCCATCGCACCCTTTAAGGCTTCGCTATCAACGAAGCATGAGAATAATAATTGGGTCGATGAATTACCCCTCATCCTTCTATCGTTAAGAAATATTCTTAAGGATGACTTGAAATGCTCCCCTGCAGAGCTTGTATTTGGTACTTCGTTATCTTTACCTGGCCAATATTTTTCACCAGCTGTGACCACACCACCAGTTTCTTCCTCTTTTATTCAGGACTTACGCCTTAAAATGGCAAACTTATGCTATACACCACCGCGGCACTGCCCGAGTGATATCTATTTACCGCACCAGCTCAAGGACTGCGAGTTTGTATTTGTACGTAACGACTCTGTTAAGCGGCCTCTTACGCCGGCCTACACAGGCCCATACCGCGTTCTTAAACGCGCGGACAAATATTTCCAAATACAAAAAGGTATTCACACCGACAACGTTTCAATAGATCGGTTGAAACCTGCCTTTATAGAGAAACCGTCGTCTCATACTACTTCCCAATCAACTCCGCAAGTTCAGGAGAATTTCAAGACACCTGTTTCTCTCGACAAACCTAAGTATACCAGCTCCGGTCGAAAAGTCACCTTTCCAAAGAAATTTGAAACATTCTACTATTATTAGTCAAATGTCTGCGACATTTGATCCAGGAGGAGGGCTGTGTGGAATAATGTATTATTCCATCTACGACATTTTACGCGCGCGCGAGTTTCCTCCCTTTCTTTCACACTCGCGGGCGCGCGCGCGCGTTTGACACCCCTTTCTCCCTCGTTCGGTCTAATACAGTAGTAACTGTTTTTGGTCAACAGTCAAACGACCTGCTATGCAAATTAGATTTTTGAAATCTTCCCGCGAAAAATTTGTGACGTCAACGACAAACTGTTGTTTCAAAAAAAGTTCAGTTGTGATCCAGACTCGGACCTAAGCAGACTCATTTTTAGCCATGTCAATATGCAAGGTTGACAGACGAAGGATATCTTACGATGCAAATACCAAATAATTAATTCTTCGTCCCTTTTGGCTCGTCATTCAAAGTCCTTCTCCGAGATGATGCAAAACATCCCAAAATATTAATTCTTCGTCCCTTTTGACTCGTCATTCAAAGTCCTTCTACGAGATGATGCATATACCAAAAATTAATTTTTCGTCCTTTTGACTCGTCATTCAAAGTCCTTCTACGAGACGATGCATAACATAAAAATAATTAATTTTTCGTCCCTTTGGGTCTCGTCAAATAAATCTGTTTTGAACCAGTACAAAAAAAAAAAAAAAAAAAAAAATATATACATAACATTCACTCACATTACCTAAAAACTCGCAGTGAGTATTTTTCCTTGTATGAATATTATCATGTACATTGACTTATCTGGAACCTTTCTTCTTCAAGAACCTTCCCGCCTTTAGCCATCTTGTTTTCTACTTTTGGCGCGGAACTTTTTCATTGATCCCGACTACGGGATAATTTACTTGTTTTTCCTGCATTTAATAAAAATTACTCTTGTTGGAATCCAGTCTTTTTTCTGTCATTCTGTGTCGGCTATCTTAATATATTTTATTTTATGCACGTGTGGATTAACCACATTTCTTCGTTGTTCATTCACGCACATTTTTATTTTTTTACTTTGCTTGTAGACTCGGTAGTTTAGTGTGGTGTCTGGCACAAGGCCACTCAGTAATAAACCAGCACTGCACCCTACCGGGCCTGCAACATGCTGTACAAAAGTGAACCCCTGATAATATTTTTAAAAATTGTCTCTTTTTTCTAGATGATCAACAAATCTTAATTAAACAATATATTCATTAAGAAAAAAATTATTCAATCAATTGAAATCAACTTTAAAGAATTTGTATCAAGCTGGAATAAAAATATTATTGAAAATGAAGATGTGCAAAAGTAAATGAACTTTTACATTTAATATTTGGTTACAATATCAACAAATTTTTTCTATAATTTTTAAGTAGTTTCTACCAGTAGTGACTGCAGAATTTTTACCATTCTTTTTGGAAAAATTTCCATAATTGCGTGGTATTACCTGCGTTTCTTGCATGCACTGCCTTCTTTCACTTGAATCACAGATTTTCAATTGGGTTTAGATCAGGACTTTAACAAGGCCGTTCCAAGACTTGAAATTACTTTTTACGAACACATTCTTTTGTGGATTTGGTTTAATGCTTCAGATCATTGTTCTGTTGGAAGCTCCAGCTTTGATCTAAACCCAAAATTTGAACTGAGCATAAGACACTTTTGTTTGAAATTGCTTGGTATCTTGCAGAGTCCATTGTGCTCTCAATGTGTGCTAATTTACCTGTTACTACAGCAGCAAATAACTCCTTTATCATAATGCTGTTACTGTCATGTTTAATGTTTGTTAACAAATACTTCTCTTCAAAAACATATTAAGATCTTGCAGATATACTACCCAATCAAGCAACGTTGAATTTGGTTAGTACATAAATGTGTGATCAGTTGAGGACAATACCAGATGCTGTAAGCTTGGATGTGCAGGTTACGTAATGGATAATGGCTCAGAATCATTAATCAGAGAGCCAATTCCAATTGTGTTCAATATGTTTACTTATATGTAAATACTTTTGGCAAAGGTAAAAATTAAAATTACTTATTTTTCTAATTTTCATTGAAAAACATACATTAAAATATATCCAGTGCTGTTCGATAAAAGTGACTCACCTGATTATTTTTTACTAAATGTTCTCTTCTTCGATGAAATGAAAGTTGAGCTAAATTCAAAGGATAAGCGATCTAAAATCCGAAGAAGAAGCTTTGAAAGCTCTTTGAATTTAGCAGTAAGTACTGTCAAGCATCCGTTCAGTATAATGTTCTGGGGATGCTTTTCTTTTCATGGAACTGGTTTCTTAAAACCTATTGGAAAGACCCTCAGGATCAAGCAGTACAAGAGAATTTTAGAGTCTTGTCTGCTGCCTTCTGCTGAAAGGGTGCAAATCGACCCCACCAAGCTCATTTTTATGCAGGATAATGCTCCCTGTTACAAATCAAAACTGATGAAGGAATACTTTGATGAGAAGCAGGTGAGTGTTATGACATGGCCACCCCAATCTCCTGACCTCAACCCCATAGAAAACTTATGGAGCATTATAAAGTACAGGCTCTCGAGAAAGCAGTTGAGCAAAAAAGAGGATTTGATTGTGAATTTCATATCCAAATGGAATTCGATGCTTGGAGATAAGATTTGCCAGAACCTAATCAAGTCAATGCCAAAAAGGGTTGAAAAGGTTATTTAAAATAAAGGAGGGCCCATAGATTATTAAGCATTTCGAACTATATTGCCTATTATAAATAAATTATACCTCTATTATTCTTTATTTAAAGCTGTTCGGTTATGTTTCTATTGATTACTAGTTGCAGGAAATTAGTGAGTCACTTTTTTTTTTACACAGAGTTTTTCACAAAACTCATTTATACCCAAAATTAGAATTATCAATAGAATACCTTAGGGCGAGTAAACTTTTTTTACTAGGTGGTCGGGAAGGGGGTCTTTATATTAGTAAGATTAAAAATTAGTTTGACCCCCAAAACAATAGGCGAAAAAATTTTTAAGTAAAAACAACTGGTGAGCCAATTTTATCGAACAGCACTGTATTTTAAACAATTGCTTATATAATTTGCTGGCGTTCCATATTTTAAAAGATTATTTTCCGCACAATTTTTAAAACAAGGGTTGAATGGCATATTTGTAACTCACTGGCTATTTATATTGTTTTAAGTGGTTAAAGTAATTATTACATTTACAAAATCCAGTTAATTAATCCTTAAATTTACTAACTTAAAAATATATCAGAAATTTTCAGGACCTATTCAGTTACGTATGCATATTTTTAGGGTACTCTATTAAAAATCTCAGAGGAAATATCTTTTGGGGTATGCCTCCCACCTCTCTTGTCGATATCACATGCATACTTTTAATTTTGGGTTGAGGATGTTCGTCCAATTATTTTACAGAAAAAAAACTGAGATATCATTTCAGTAAAAACATGCAATATGAAGTGTGAAGATAAAGAAAGTTTACGCCCGCATTTTGCCAAAAACAGTTCAATACAACACAAAAATTTTCTTTTGAGACTTGGTGCTTACACAATTTAATAAAACACATTATTTTCTTTCAGATTTGACAGAAAAAATGTAATTTTAATATTTATTTTTAAAACTTTACATGTAAATTTTCAGTGCAGTTTTGAAATTAACCCTGTTGATGTTTATCACAAGGGTTTACTAAATAAAGACATATTTGAAAATTTAAAATATGTAAAGTTTAATGTAGAGACATCCACAAAAATGCGATGCCTAAGGTTGAGAATTACTTTTTAAACATGAAAAATCTTTCTTCTTCTCGCGACAGAGTTTCTTTCCAGTGTATGAATGTTTGACCAAATCTGACTACCATGAAAATGTGCATCCACAAACTTCACAAGAACATTATTTCTTTATAATGTGTGTTTCCGTCTGGACTATTATGTCTGACTTCACATTTTAGCAGATGTAACATGAATATAGCCTATCTTTCATGTTTATTCATATATAACAAAAAATGTGTTTTTGTGGAAAGATAAACCACATACTTCAAAGTACATTATTTCTTGCCAGGTAAAGTTCATTGTCATGCTTTTGACAATATAGATCTATCACTTTCACATGAACCATGTAGCATATATTTGTCTGTGTTTTCTTGGAAAATGAAATGTCTTTTACTTGTTTTTGTGCAATGTATTGCTTTTTTTGTGGGAATATTTAGTTAGGCCACCGGGATGCACATATGATGCAGTAGCAACTATGATGCAGGATGTTCGCCTATTATCATTACTGCATGTCTGTTGCATTTTGCAGCACTTGAAAATAATGCATTAGTGTTTTTACAAGAATATGATGCATATTGCATACAAAATATGACTTTTCTCAAAAAAGGTATATCCATTATTTTTCATTAATACAGGTTTTCATATGATGAACTAAAAAGAAGATTCTACTGATTTAGAAACTAAATGTGCTCTAAGATAGGGTTTCTCTCCAATGTGTATTCATATTATGAACTAAAATTGATTTCTCTCTGAAAATATTTATCAGCAAGTATCATAAGAATATTTTTTCTCTCCGGTGACACAGATGGCTCACCAAGCATCACTTTCATGAAAATGAAGATCCACAAAATTATACTGTTTCTCAGTGTGTGTACGCATATGTTGTTAGGCAGATGGCGCAGAATATCTCGCACTTCATCTACCGTTGGGGGTGCAGTGTTGCAGTCGTATTCATCGGTCGGTTTAACGGCCACTTCCGTCGCCGGAGTCGGATGATTGAGTAGCTCGTTAAAATGCTCTTTCTATCGATTTAGGAAGACTCCTGGTGAGGATGGTATACCTGCAGAAGTATATAAAGCCGTATCAGATGTATTCGCCTCGTGGATGCATCGTGTCTTTAATGCGGTCTGGCTCTCCGAGACCTACCCTGCCGATTGGAGCGAGGCCATCCTGATACCTTTCTTCAAAAAGGGTGATAGGAAACTCTGCTCGAATTACAGAGGAATTAGCCTCATCGACGTGACAGCCAAAGTATTTGCAGTGCTTCTCCTGCGAAGATTTCAGGGCATCCGTGATCTGCGAACTCGTCCGTCTCAGGGTGGCTTCTGCCCGGGCAGAGGTTGTGTTGACCAGATCTCCAGCCTGCGGCGCACCCTCGAACAACGCTGGGCATTCCAACAACCAACAGTCCTCTGCTTCGTCGACTATGCGGCTGCTTTCGACTCCGTTGATAAAGGCTCACTCTAGCGTATCATGGAGGCCGATGGCATGCCCGCTAAACTCCTTCGTCTCATCAAGGGCTACTACCGGTCGACGCGAGCCCGTGTTCGTGCTTCGGGTGAGGAGTCGGAGACGAGATGAAGACTGGTGTGCGGCAAGTGTGTGTCCTATCCCCTACCCTATTCAATTATACAATCGACTACATCCTCAGCAGGGCCCTTCGGGACTACGCTGGAGTTGCGGTTGGTCGGAATGTCAGGGTGTCTGATCTGGCCTACGTGGACGACATTATCTTGATCGGATCGAACTGTGGCGATGTGCAAGCAGTGCTCAACCGTGTACAAGCTGCAGAACGGGATGTGGGTATGACCATCAATGCCTCAAAGACCAACGTTATACCATCCCTGGTTGATCCAGTCAACTGGCAGCCACTGATGCTGGACGGGGTCAATCTGGAGGACGTGCAGTCTTTCGTCTATCTCGGTTTAACCACTATGCCATCCGGGCAGGCTGCTGCTGAGGTCCACATTCGTGCGTCTCAAGCGGTCACTATAGAGGCGATGAGAGATTTCCACGGCTACGAAGGGGCGCATCTATCAGGCTATTGTTCGGACTATCCTTCTCTATGGCTGCGAAACGTGGACACTTACAGCGGTTGACCTACGAAGGCTTGGAGTGTTCGACAACGATAGCCTTCGCTGCATTCTACGATGCCGCCGAATCGATCGTGTGCCCACGGCCACTCTACGTCGTCGCCTGAGTCTCCGTCCTCTTCCACCTGTCCTGCTCCAGCGTCGTCTCCGATGGTTCGGGCACGCAGCTCGACACCCTGAGGGAGACCTCATCCGCGATGTACTTCTCCCTCTTTCTCTTCCTGGCTGGCAAAAACGTGTCGGTGGGCAGCTGAGGACGTGGGCTAGCACAATCAAGGATGACCTAGCAATACTATCGGGTCCACAAGTAGTTGGTCTTCGACGATGGAATCGCGAGTGGCTCGCCATTTCGTGTGACCTGGCTCAGGATCGGCGAGCGTGGGCAGCGATGGTCTGTGATGCTGTACTTGCTCGGGAGGAAGCCGGTTCAACCCGATCAGTGTGAAAACCGATACAAGTCAAAAAGTCAAAAGTACGCATATGTGTCACTAAATGTGACTTCCGTGAAAATGCTGATCCACAATCATCATAAGAATATGTCTTCTCTCCAGTGTGTCTACGCATATGATTGATCATTAGACTTGAGTGAAAATCTAAATCCACATACTTCACACTAATCTGGTCTCTGTCCAGTGTGTTTATGCATATGTTCCACTAATTTTGACTTGTGTGAAAATCCAGATCCACAAACATCACAAGAATAATGCTTCTCTCTAGTGTGTGTATGCATATGATTGACCATATGTGACTTCCGTGAAAATGCAGATTCACAAACATCACAAGAATATGGTTTCTTTGTAATATGTCTTTCCATGTGGCCTATTATATCCTGCTGCAACTGTTTAGCTGATGTCTGATGAAAATTGTGCCTATCTTTCTTGTTTATTTAAACATATAATTAAATGTGTTTTTGTTGCAAAATAAATCGCGTACTTCAAAGTAGACTATTTCTTCTCAGGTATGCACATTTATCATGTAGCATATATTTGTATATGTTTTCATCTCAGTAACAACCACTGTGGTGTTTGTACTGCCAAAACATCTGTAAAGGAAAAAAAGCATAACTGATATTTTAATAGTGGTAGTGAATAATATATGAAAGCAGTCTATATTACGAGAGATACATGTAATTATTATTTCAATAATGTAGCAGAAGCTGACTCCAGTAAACATTAAACATTTTGCAGCGAGACAAGATTGCTTCACCATCATGTCATATCTTATTAAATGTATGTAATTACATTCAGAAAGTTGTCAATTCAGAAATAATTCAAATATGGATCTTGAAAACATTTGTTGAGTTTGAAGTTTATTTAATCCTCAACTTGGACTAACATAACTGGAAACAAGATCAAATGCCCTTAGCCAATATCGCCTGGGGGAGAGTATTTGCTGCAGGCATCTTTGCTTAATAAAAATGAAGCATCATTTTCATCAAACCCTAGAAGAGATCTTTTGTGAACTCCCTCTCCATGGAACAGTCAGTAACAGCATAAACCCGAGAGATAAAAGTTGATTTGGGAATTTTTTCAATATTTATTTGAGGAAAATTTTGTTTATATAATATATTTGGAAACTTACCTTGCAGAAAAAAATGTAGCTTAAAAATAAGAGAAAGCATGTCTTAACAACGGTGATGATTGATGAGTGATGTATCGACACCTAATGTGAGGGGAAGTTATCATGCTGAAGAACAAAAGTGACATTTTTTTCGAGTTTAAGTTTTTTGTAAAGTTTAAGTGAAGCAACGTGTTTACCTCGTAATTTTTCATGAGTAACAAATACTTTAGCAGCCTAATATTTTATTTTTTAGATACTTTAGTTTTAATGTTACATTAGTTGAAAATAATTTCCGGAAAAATTTAAAATTCTTTAAAGAAATTTAAAATTTCACAATTGCTGAGAGTGAGATATAATTTTTTTATTATTTCATCCATGAAAAATTGTTATAACTCAGATAATACAAAAATAAGACCGTATAAATTACATAAGATAGGTACCTAATAAGTGTAGGTACTCTTCTCATATACAATTTTTATGTGTTAATTTTTTCCATCTTCTTTAATCTTAATATTACAGTTTCGAAGATAAAAAAATATTTCAATTACTTTTTTCACTTTCAAGTTAGTTGAAACTAAAAAAATTATTAGTATGGGTTATCGGCCACACAGAGTTTACCAACTAATTTGTGTTAGGAAGAATAACATGTATTCGCCTTCCAGTAGCACACCGATACTAATATTAGCATTAGTTCAGCCATTGATTCACTAACACCAAATGCGAATATAGAAAAACGAAATACGCGAGCGTAGCAAACAAAACATTTAATAAGGCAAACAACTTACATACATATATTAAAAAGATTTACACATGTCCCGAAACAAATGATTGTTCATACTGTCCAAAGGAACGAGGAAGTTTATAGAACGAGAACAAAAAAATAGCATACCAGCTATATGGCCTTTGATAGTCCGCGGATAAGTGAATAGGAATTACATGTTGAACAGTTTCCCCATGTGTGGATGCCCTGGTGGTCAGGAAGGTAAAGAGGCCGATCATCAAAGAACTGAAGCAAAAACTAAAAGGTACAGAAGAATTCTCCTCTCTAAAAGGGTCAAACTCCCATGAGCTCAACCCGAGGGAAAACAATTGTGGTCTCCCTACAAGTACCCACTCCCTAGAGAGGTTCACTAACCTGTACCAGAGGTACTACTAAAATGTAACAAAAAACAAAACTTCACAGCATGTATTAGAAATTTAAAGAAAAATGGTTTTGCAATCGAATGAAAAAGGAAGAGTTCGATGTGGAGGGAGAAATATCCTCCAGTTATGGTTCTGCTCAACCCAAAACCTGAAAAGGAGTTATGTCATTAAATGTTTGGGCCATCTAACACGAGGGCCAGATCTGGTCACAGTCTCTTTTACTACCACCGGCGCTACTGGTGATGGAGGAGTCACTGGAGTGTCCAAAAAGGCAGGCTTTAATCTGTCCATAGTAATGTTGTGTGTTGCATTGTTAACGCTCATCATAAGATATTTTGAATATCTCTCAAGGACTTTAAAATGTCCTCTGTAGGCTGAATGCAATGTGAGGGACTTAGCCAATTCCCACCAATTTCCCACATGTGTGCATGTCTGCAGTAGTTTAGGCGCATATATCTGCCTTTGAACCTGTGCAGAAGACTTATGGGCTAAGTTTGCCATTTTCGAGGTAATCCGATCAACGAACGAGGTCAAGTTCAAAACTTTTTGTGGAGGTTGCAAGAAAAACTGTCCTGAAAGTCTGAGTGTGGTGCCATAAACTATCTCAGCAGATGAACATTTAAGATCGTCTTTAACCACAGTGCGGAGTCTCAGAAGAACCAACGGTAGATGCTTCAGCCAATTTGACTGATCCGTCACGGCCCTTAAAGCTGATTTAAGTGTACGATGAAATTGTTCCACTAAGCCGTTAGCCTCAGGATGATAAGCGGTGTTTTTGATTCTTTTACTCCCCAAGATTCTCATCAGCTGGTTGAACAAGTCTGATTCGAATTGCTGCCGTCTGGGGGGGTAGTAATTACAGCAGGGACCCCGAAACGGGAAACCCACCCTGAAACAAAAGTCTTTGCTGTAGTATGTGCAATATGTAATGTCCGACATGGGAAGAGCCTCACACCAACGGGAGAAACGATCAACACATGTCAATAGATATGTCTGTCCTTCACATGAGGGGAGTGGTCCTGTGATGTACACGTGCACATGTACAAACCGCTCGTCGGGTGATGGAAAGGATCAAGGAGGTGAACGGGTGTGTCTCCCCACTTCGGCCCTCTGAAGTGGCACACAAGTCTTTGACCATTTTGGGTGGGACAAATTGTGCATGGAGGAGAATAACGTCTTCCGCATTGACTCAGACACGAAGAGGCGCAATCGTCCGGTGCTGGTGTCACATACAACTTCCAATTCCGTGTTTGGGACATGCATTTTCGACAATGTCAAGGATGTGTGGTTCTCTCTGTAGTTGCTGAACCTTTTCCTGTGTTTCCACAAATGATTGATGTTCCAAGCACGGGCCCAGTACAAAAGCATTGATGCCACGAGACACAGTGTCTGCAGGTATGCTGTTGGTTCCCTTGATGAAACGGATATCTGAAGTGAATTGTAACAGATAATCCAAGTGTCTGGTTTCACGTGGGGAATACTTGTCAGAGTTTGACTGAAAAGCCCCCAACAAGGGCCTGTGGTCTGTCAATAATTAGAAAATCCGCCCTTCCAACAAATGTCGAAAGTAACGGACCGCTGAATAAGCTGCGAGAAGTTCACGTCCAAATGTGCTGTACCTGGATTCCGTAGAAGTTAGTTTCTTAAAGAAGGAAATTGGTTTCCAGTGGTCATCGATCTTCTGCTGTAGTACTGCACCTACACCAATCGAAGAGGCGTCCACTGCCAAACACAACTCGCTACCTGGGACAACATGTGACAATTCAACTGCTCGGGACAATAAAACCATAATTTGATGGAAGGCTGTCAAGGCTTGGTCAGACAAATCTGTCACAATTTTTGACATCAGTTAGAATATCTGCAAAGGTTTTATCAACTGCGCACAATTTGGCAGGAACCTTCGAAAAAGTTCACCATCCCTAAAAACTGTCGCAACTTTCTCATGGTATCTGGCACGGGAAAGTCAGAAATAGACGCCACTTTGAAATTCGAGCTGAATTAATGCGGTGACCTAGGAAAATTACTTCAGACTTTCCAAACTCACATTTTACTGGGTTGATAACCCCAAATTTCTCAAAATGCTCGAAAACGAGCTGTAAATGTTTGACATGTTATGGCTCCTGGCGATTGAGTATTTGTTTTAGGGTCTGTCAGAAAACGTCTGTGAACATCAATGAGAAGACCAAATTTGTGGAAAAAATCTGCACCCAATATGGCATTCTCTACATCTGCAAAGACAAAGAAATGGGTGAAAACCTGTCTCAGACCCAAATTCAATGTAAGGCACCTCTGATCATAAGTCTAAATCAGCGAGTTATTCACGGCCTGCAAGGTAAGTTTGTGAGGGCCTTTTTAACTTGTCTGCCCTAGTGGCAGTTAATAAAGATATTTACGCACCTCTGTCCACAAGAAAACGTATACCAGTAGTGCAGTCCGAAACAAATAGAAAGCGACAAACACCTGCGAATTGAACAAACTCTTTTCTTAGAAAAAAGTGAAAATACTATGGAGAAATCATAATTATACTATTTCCTCTGTATAATACGCATAAAATAAAATTCTGATCAATCCAACATTTCTTAGTACATGCCAAAAACCTATGGAGAAATATAAATTACTCTTTTTACTTTGAAAATTCGCGTCAAATACAAGAATATTTCGTCCAACCTTTCTTACAAAATGACGAAAGTACCAAGAGAAAAAAATAATTATTCAATTTCCTGTGTATAATACACATCAAATACATGTGTAAAACATCCAATATTCCTGAGAAAATAATGAAAATACTATGGACAAATCAGAATCATTATTTCCTTTGTATAATACGCATAAAATAAAATTCTGATCAACCCTACATTTCTTAGTATATGCCAAAAAGCTATGGAGAAATACAAATTACTCTTTCTTTCCTGCAAAAATTCGCGTCAAATACAAGAATATTTCGTCCAACATTTCTTACAAAATGACGAAAATACGGAGAGAAATAATTATTCATTTTCTTGTGTATAATAGCATCAAATGTTTGTGTAATACATCAAATATTTCTGAGAAATTTGCAACAGCTACGAAGCACCATTGAGCCGATTTGGTCGTTAGAAAAACTATAAATAGAAATGGCAAATGAATTTTCGTCGCATTTGAGATTCCCACACATTGAGTACGTTTGTTGTTACTTGGTCCAGCTTGAATGTTTGCTGCGCATGAACTGTTAAGTGTTTGTTAAATTTTTGAATGTTTTAGTCTTTCTGGTTTATTTTTATTTATTTGTGTACTTTTTTTAAACTTTCGTTGTTTGTTTTCCTTTTTGTGTTTCTATTGAAACCTTTGAGTTTTTCCTGTTTCAGTTTTGCATTTTTTGTTTACTTTTTACGTGTTTGTATCTTTTCCCTTCCCCCTTTTAGTTTTCTTTTTTTTTCCGTATTTGTTTGAATTACTTATTGCCTTCTAGTTTACCACGTTCTTGTTTATTTTTGTTTGTTCTTGAAAAAAATAATTTAAAAAATAAATAAAAAGCTATTTATTTGCCCGGCTGTGGTGGTTCTTAAAACCATCATGGCGGACAGTAACGAGGAAGATGATATAAATTCAATGCCTTCAAATACAGAGTCGCCAGTTAAAACAGTCTGGAATGAAAGTAGCCCCCCCCCCAGATATCCCGTTTTACGTCAACCAAAGAGAAAAATTCAAAGACTCTTTTCAAGGGTATGAATTCTTTACGATTCCAGCAGCACCGGATGCCGTTAATACGCGAACAATATTCCTGCTGACTTCCGACGTTAAAACCTGGAAATTAATTGGGGTCAGCAGTGAAAGCATGGAAATAGCCCTAAAATCGCTACAGATTACCCCCAAAGCACTGACGCAAAAAAACGAACGCTCTATTGGACCTTTTACTAGCAACAAAACAAGCCAAGGAATTGGCTCCTGAATACGAAGCACTTTCGTCTGCAGATGGAGTACATGGGCAGAGGTTACCATTCACGGGGTGCCTGCAGATATCCCAGAGAACAGAATGGGGACCTTTTTTGCCAAAATATGGTGAAGTAAACGAAGTGAAGGCCCTCATAAGCAAAGCAGCCATTGCAAAAGACGATATGGAAGTTCAAGTGATGGTGAGCCGGGAAAGTTTCGGAGAAATACCGAATACTCTGGTCTGCCCTGACAAAAGGATGTTGGTAGTCATTGTAGGTAGGAGGCAGTATTGCTGGTCGAGTAGCGCTTCGGACCACATGGCAAAGGAGTGCCCTGATAAAAGTACGCAACCCTCATCTCGTCCAGCATAAAAAAATCAAACTCCTTGGAATTTTCTTCTGGAATTTCGCCTTAGAAATTACCGATTCTTTGTCTTTTAGACTTCGAATGTTTTTAAACAAAATAAAGACAATCTTTTAGAGCAGAAGAACGAATCGCACATTTCAGAAAATTCATGGTCTTCCTCGACATCCACGAAGAAAAGCATTCTCTTAACTTTTTCTTCTTTGTTTCTCTTTCACACATCAAAACAAGAAATTTGTTTTGATGTGTGAAAGAGAAACAAAGAAAAGAAAAAGTTGAGAGAGAAAAAAAGAGAAAGTTGGAAATTAAAAAGAAAAAATGGAACAAAGTCTATAAGAAAAAAGAAAAGGGTAAAGAGAAAAAATGAGACAAAAAAGAAGAGAGAGAAAGAAAGAAAACGGAGAAGAAAAAAAAATAAAAAGATTAGAAAGAGAGAGAAAAATGTAAAAAAAAAAAAAAAAAAAAAAAAAAAATAGAAAAAAAGAAATCTACAATTATTTGACCGAACTCTTATTTTTATCCAACAAATAAATCCAACTTTTAAGTGCAACAAAAATTGATTTTATTTGCATAAAAAAAAAAATAAATAAACGATCAATCTGCTATTTTTATTGCCATTTCCAAATGAAATTAATTTCCTTTTCACATCTTCTGTCAGCCATTGATGGTCGGAGACAAAGTTAAAAAAAAAAAAAAAAAAAAAAAAAATTTGAAGGATAATTTCATAAAATGAATTTAAAAAAAAAAAGAAATTTTTTTTTTTTTAAAAATAATTTTGAAAATTTTTTCCATTGTTTTTAAAAGAAACAAACAATTTTCGGCTGGAAACAAAAATCATTGGCCAATTTTCAGATTCTTTTGGAAATTTAAACAAAACATTTTTTGGCAATACAGAAAAAATTCTGTGTCTCGATGAAAAATAAAAATGGCCAAATTTATTTGAACAAAAATCGACAAATTCTTCATCCATTTCAAACTTTTGAAGAATTTCTCCATTTTGATTCCAAACAAAGAATTCTGACTGTTCGTCTTGACCCCCACAAATTTCCAGTCGTGGTATCGGCATGAAGGAGGGGGGCCATAATTACTCTTCCCCAGTGGCTCCCCGGGGTAGATTGTTTTTATTTCTTGTCCATTTTCATTAAAACAAGCAATTTTTTGAAAATCTTTTTCACAAGCAAAAAATTTTTTGTTAATTTGACACAAAAACACAAATTTATTTTCTTTTGCGTCAATTGTTTTTTGGATTTTTAGAGATGGCGGATATTTTTTTTTCGTCAAAAAGAAAATTCTTCCCAACCCCCAAAAAATGAATCCTCCTTCAAAAACTCCCGACCACAGACAACCAAAATGTCTGAAGAAAGGCGACATGTCCCGGGGGCCAAATTCCTTTCCTTCGTCAGTTAAGGGACATTGGCCGACCATTTCCCCAGAGTCACTGAATTCTAGGATCGATCTGCCATTTGCATCGCCATCAAAGACACGATTGTCACCAGCAACAATCGATGAAATAATCAGCGGGTTCGATCCTTGTAGACAGCATCCACTTTCCATCTGCAAATGCCCAAAATGTCTGCCTCCCACTCGATTATTTCTTCCTTCAGTGACTCTAAGGAATCGTGACACCATTTCGGAAATGTCACCAGCCAATGTCCTTTCTCTTGAGGAGCAAACGATTGGCAGAGCTGCACAGAAAACTCCGCTTCCACCAACCGCAGTCCACAGACGACATCCTCATTTTTGGCGTCGTCTGTCAACAAATGTTGCACGGTGTGGCGCCAGATTGTCACCTTCTTTAAAAGGTCTTCTCTCTCTCCTTGAGGGAGTGGCGCCATTTCCTCTCCAGTTCAGATGCTGTCTCTCTCATATCGTCGCACAGCTTTCCTAACTTGAGCAGTGTCTCTTCAACGAAGGCCTCAAAATCCTCCCACAGATTGGAGCATTCTGTATCACAATCTGTTGACAGTTGGTCAGTGGATTGCCTCGTCAGATTGTTCGTCGCCCGGATGTGGATTTCGAAATCTCGGAGTTGCCGCTCTAGGGTGGGGCCGCCTTCCTCCTTCCCTTTCAAACCTCGTCCCTCACCGACAGCGGACGAGGCGGTCACGTGCTCTTGGTAACATGCGTCACACAGACAGACGGTGCACCGCTCGCAGAAGGTGTCCTTCGATTGTCGGTGCTGTCGACAGCCGTCTGTCATGATGACCCGGATGGCATCAACCCTTGATTTGCTGGACAAGTCTTCCCAGTGGTGCTTTGATTCCAATCTTTTGTGTGCTCTCTGGCAGTTCTGGCACAAGAGTTTCTTGCAATCATGGCACCAAATCTGGACAGATGATTCCATGCTGTCTTCAAAATTCCAGCTGATTGTGCCTCAAAGACTTCACCAAAAACGGTGCCAGCCTTAACTCATCACCAGTCACAGGTTGCTGGCACTGGGGACACGGGCCGTTCCCTTCCCGAATCATCTCCACACACGACTGGCAGAAGGAATGAAGACATGTTAATGTCTTTGATGCCATGTCCAACATTTGGTCGCATTTCGAGCATTGGAATGTTTCTTCTTCACTCATACTGGATGCCATTTTGAAAAATTTCTTCCCAGGATAAAAATCAATCTGAAAAGAAAGAAAAGAAAAAAATATCAAATTTAAAAAAAAATAAAAAAAATTATAAAACCGGACGAAAAATGACCTGAAATTGAGAAAAACAAATATAAATGAATGGTCAGTGAATAAAATGTCGAAAGAGTAAGGAATGGAGAGAGTGATTATCAATGAAGAAAGAGGGAGAGAAGAACAATTCGAGAAAGGGAAGGAAAGAAAGGGTAAAAGAAACAGAAAGGGAAAAGGGGGGGAGCAAATTTAACGCCTTCACAATCATATTTAACATTCTCTCATCAATTTTAAAAATATTAATATTTCTCCCAATTTAAAAAATTTTTTTTGAAAAAGATTTTTTATTACCACTTGCTAAGTTTGTTTTAATCATTTTTGCTAATCTTAACCTAGTATGGCATAAGATCAACAGAAACGAGAAAAGTAGTCCACTCATGAAAAAAAAACAAAAAAAAAAAACGTTTCTCTGAAACACAGAGCAAAATTGATCCATCATTTTTTGGACTCAAAATTTTACCTTAATTTTAAAATGAATTTTCAAAAACAAAACCTTTCTTAAAGCTTTGATTTTAGATTTAATTCCAAGCAAAAAGATTAAATTTCATATTTCCAATCAGCAAGATATGTAGATAGACAGATACGAAAAGAACTGAGATAGATAGACCAATCAATAAGAGAGAGAAAGCAGGGATAGAGAGGTTAAGAAGAAAACATTTTTCTCCTAGTATGAATTTGGTTAAAAAAAAAAAAAAAAAAAAAATTTCTTGTAGTTTTCATGATGGTTGAGGGGCTGTGACGTCATAGGATCAGCAGACATTTCATTGGACAAGAATAATCACACCCTAGCGGGGCTGAAGGGCATTACATGAGAGAGGGAAATGCAGAGGGAGAAGGGCATTTTTCCATTTTTTAAAAATAAATAGCGATCGATCGATAGATAGGAAAGGGACCGAGATCAACCGATAGACACGAAATGGTCTGAGATAAATAGACATGAACAGGATTGAAGTAGATAAGTAGGTATCTCCAATAATAATTCACTGAAACACAGCATAGCATGATGAAAAAGGTGCCAAACTTGATAAAAAACTAAGTTTTATCGTAAAAAGATTTATGTTATTAAAATGAAAAAAAAAAAAAAAAAAAAAAAAAAATTTCCACCCCATTTAATTAATTTCATTATTTTCTAGAATTTAAAATCGCTACAGAATGGTTTTTAGAAAGAAAGAAATGAAAAAAGCAGACAATAAATGATAATTGGTACTTTTTAAAAAGAGTATAGCATGATGAAAAAGGTGTCAAACTTGACGAAAACAAAATTTTATTATCTGAACGTTTGTTACATGATTTGGAGCAGATTTTTTTAAAAAGTTGGCATTAGTTGGGGGAAAATAATTGATTATTTAACTTCCCCCAAGGAGTCCTGCTTATAAAAAAAAAAAAAGTTTGCAAACTTTGAAATTCTATAAAATTTCATGAAATTAATTTATGGGGCGGGTAACAGATGTAAAAGAAAAATTTTTTTTAAAATATTTAAAAAAATACTTTCTTTCCTGTTAATAATAACTAAATATTTTAATGATGAAACTTTATTTTTATCAAATTTCGGACCTGTTATTATGCTATACTGATTTTTTAGCAAATTGTTGGAGGTACCTACTTTAAACGTTTTTTAATTAGATAAATTTCTTTAAACGTTTTTAATTAATTAGATAATTGTTTAACACTAGGATCGCCGATGTGTTGTTTTCAACACTTTCAAATTTTCAACAAATTACTATGGAATAACTAGTTTTGGTTTGATGCTGAGGCTTATGGACAATTATTGAATTCAATTTGATATTGAATTAGCAAAGATGCTTAACAGACTTAATTCTTTAAAAAATATTCAGTGGAATAGCTGATATTTGAGATTTTACCTTGAATGGCCGAGGTGTCGTTTTTGACACCTAGGCAATTTATAGGGTAAATGCATTGAAAAATTTCTCACAAACAATAATCCTTGAGTGAATTTCTTTTCCGCCTTGTTATTCCTGACTTGAATATTGAATATATTAGAGATGGCTGCTTCATGGCGTAATGGAAATAAAGATGTCTATACTGCAGAAGAAGCACTGAACATTCTCTTCCAATCAGAAGATGAAGTTTCAAGTGATGATAGCGACAAGGAGTTTTTACCGCAAAAAGAATTTTCTTCAAGCTCGTCAGGATTCTCAAGATGGTGAACATGAATCCACTAGACAAGCAAGTACCTCTTCAGATATACAAGCAAGCATCTCCACAGATAGAAATACTATCATAACACAGCATGGGATTGCCTAGGAACCTCTATCATCATCCCGGAGAGGAAGATATAACCAAAGTCTGGTAATGAAAGGTACTCCTGGTATTTCAAAATCAGAATCTTCATATTCTGCTTGGAGAATCTTTATTGATGAAACTATGCTGCAGAAAATTCATAAATGCACAATCAATGAAGGGAAAAATCATGATAAAGGCTTTGTGTTATCCTTAGAAATGTTGGAGGCCTACCTTGCTTTGACATATGCAAGGGGAGTGTACGGAAAAGCTCACAGCGTAGATTTTTTTGTGGAATGAAACCTATGGACCAAAAACATTTGGAGAAAACATGTCTAGAAATGAATACAAGAAAATACAAAGATTTATTAAGTTTGACAACAGAAGCACAATGTCAGAGTGGATCAAAAGTGATAGATTTAGTCACATCAGAGAAATTTTTGACCTATTTGTTGAAAATTGCAAAGGTGTCTATATACCAACATATAGTTTGACAATTCATGAACAGCTATTGCCTATGAAAAACAGGTGCCCATTAATTGTATTTATGCCAAATAAACCTGATAAGTTTGGAATTAAATTTTGGGTCCTTATAGAGGTAGAAAACAAATACATTGTAAATGTGATCCCCTACTTAGGAGCCATGGAAAAGGAATCAAGATTAGGGGTTCCCTTAGCGGAACATGTTGTGCTCAGCCTTACTGAAGTAGTGAAGAACAAAGGTTATAATGTAACAACAGATAACTTTTTTTTTACATCTTATGAAGTTGCAAGGAAACTGCGAGATAGAACCACTTCAATTGTCGGTCCTGTGAGAGGAAACAGCAAGCATCTGTCGAAAGAAATGACTTTACAAGAAAAGGGAAAAAAGTATGAATCAAAATTTTATTTTCAAGATGAAAGTGAATGCATGCTTGTGAATTATCAATGCAAGGCTAATAAAAATGTGTGCCTCTTAACAATGCATAGTTCTCTAACAATTTCGGAAGGTGAGAAGAAGAAAGCAGCAGTCATTGATTTCTATAATGCTAATAAAGACGTAGTCGACCAAATGCTCCGAAAGTACAGTACACATTGTGCTACAGGACGTTGGCCCCTTGGAATCTTTTGTAATATACTGGATATGGCAGTTATGAATGCATGGATTATATACAAACTTGCATCACGGAGATCAATTATTAGGAAGGATTTCATTTTGGAGCTCATTGATTGTTTTAGGCGCGCTTATGTTCAGAAGCGAAGCTTACTGAATCCTGCAGAGGTGCCCTCCACACGCTCTTCATAGGTATCTCCACTATTCCGGCATAAATTTTCTATATTTAAGTTTAAAATGAATTTTTTACAACGAAAAACATTCTTGAAAATTTTATTTTAGCTTTAAAAAAAAGTTTAATCATTAAATTTATGGTTTCCATTAATTAAACAATTCTGGTGTATTTCAGATAGAAACTATATACATTTAATTGTCAAATTAAAATTAAAATTTTTAAATTTTCTTAAAAATCGGACATTTAGTAATATCATAGTTTTATTGGATTCATTATTTTTCAATTCAGAACAGATTTTCTGTTAGTTAGCTCAATTTTGAAAAAAAAAATTGGGTTATTTACTATCTTCAAAGACTCCTTGTAACAAAAAAAAATTCAGGGGCCAAAAAGGTTTGGGGCGAAATTTCATTAAATTAAGTTCGGTATGATCAATAAAAAAAATAGCATACCATGAATAAAAAAGGCCTTAAATTTGATTAAAATAATTTTTTATCATATAAATGTTAATGTTATTATCAAGAGGAATGATCAAAGTATTTTTTGAATATTTTTTAAAAATTTCTAGCATGTCCAAAATTTTCATTAAAAATCTTCAATTTTTTTGAATTGGGAAAAAAAAAAAAAAAAGAAAATCGACAGAAGATCGATAATCTCCCGTTGTTTTTAACGTTTGTTTACAAAAGTGAATGTTGCCGTTTAAAAATTATTTAAAAAAAATCAATTATGAATTTTTTTTTAACTAATTTTAAAAAAATTAGAAAGTTTATTTAGTATATTTTGAAAGATTGCTTATTTTCTGTGATGAAAACATGTTTTTTCAAATGGGAGAAAGCCGGTCTGAACTGCGGTGTTGATTGACAACTGACAAGTGCGTGTTTTTCATCACGCACTGACATATTACGTGTGGAAATTTATAGTACAGAAGGTCGTAAGTGACAATTTATCTTTACATTAATAACTTATTTACCTCGTTATTTTTAAGTAGTCATAGCATGAAAAAACGGCCTTAAACTTGATGAAATCAGAATTTTATTACCAAAATGTTTATGTTACTATTAAGGGGAGAGAACATAGTAATTTTTCATTATTTTTAAAAATTTTTCCGTCTTTATTAGAACGTTTTAACTTTTGATTGAAAAATCTTGTTTCTCGTCATCACCGGAACTTTAGTAAATAACACGGCAAATTTTTTGTTCATTTTTTTTTTTTTATGACACACATTAATTTTGAAAATCTTGCATAAATAGAAATAATTGTCAGATTTTAATGAAACTTTCAGGAATAATGGAAATTATTATAATTTTTTAAAGTAATTTATATAAATGTAAAGGCCGTTAACAGTGCCGTACAAATCAAGTCACGTGATGTTTTTATTGGATCATGTTTCTTCCGGGCCTCCGTACATTTGATTTAAGATTTTTTTTTCCCTACACATGGGGTAAAGAAAGGGCAGTAAGATTATTCTCATTGCTGGTTCGTTGATTGTAAAAACCTTGTACTATTTATAATCTGTACAGATATAGGTACTTAAATATAGCATTATATACAGGATTCGTCAGTACCGCTAATTTTAGAATATTTAACAACTTTTAGTAACTTTATGTAAAAAATAATAAAATAATTTATTAAATAACAATTAATTCATTTAAAAAAATTCATTTTTCATCGAAAAGTTTTTTTTTGCCTTCAGACAATATTATGCACATTGATAAAAAAACAAATAAAAAGCAACTAAAAGCATTTAAAATTAAATAGTATTTTTGTTTTATTGGGTTTTGTATGTTACAATTCAGAGCTGATTTTTAGTTTTTACGTGTTCGGATTTTTAAAAAAGAAAACCTGATTTACTTTCCTCAAAGCCTTGTGTTTTTATTAATATAATGACTTCCCTGCTTCGTCCATAAACTTTTACAGTTTTCTTAAATTCATTTATGGGGTGGTAATATATGTATAAAAAATATGTTTTTATAATGACTATAATGACCGTGTGGTATCAAAATTTTCTAAAAAAAAAAAATATTTCAAAAATAATTTCATTCATTTGTGAATAAGTCCTGAAAATTTCATTAAAATCGGACAATTACTTGATTTTTTTTACAAGAATTTCCAAATCAATGTTTTCAACGGAAATAAAGTCGCCCCCCAAAAAAGCTTTTTTAAATTAATTTAATGTCATAGTTTTTTTTTTATAATTCAGAACAGATTTTCTATGAAACTTAAAAAAAAAAAAAAAAAAAAAATCCAAAAAACTGGTGATTTACTTTCTATAAAGAGTCCTGTTTTTAACTAAAACAAATCCCATGCTTAAAGATTTAATTTCCCAAAATTTATGTAAAGGGGGTGGAAACATGTTAAAAAAAAAAATTTCAAAATAATTTCATTCATTTCTGAATAAGTCCAGAAAGTTTCATTAAAAAATCTGACAATTATTTGATATTTGCAAGAATTTCCAAATCAACGTGTTTTTTCTTCGGGGAAAAGCTCAAAATAAAACAAACCTTTTTTTCTCTTTTACTACGCTGTTGTAAATAAAAAAAAATACTTTGGTCTTTCCTCTTCATAACAACACATAAACATATATATATATATATATATATATATATATATATAATATATATATATATATAAAACAAAACTTTGTTTTCATTGATTTATCCTCTTTTTCTTTTTTCATCGTGATATGCTGCTTTTTACTCGTGGACGTGCCTATTTTGACATGTTATTTGAGTAAAATTAGAAAATTTAAAGTTAAATTAATCTGATATGAAACAAACAGTATTTACTTCTAGCTTAAAAAAATTTGTATCCAAACATTTCTTAACGATGTCTGAATTTTTTCATGTCGTTAACAAAGTAATCGATTGTGACGAGATAATGACAGATTACTATGGATGATCAAAATTGACAATTTTTGCAAAGTAAGCGAACACGGTTTTTCGTTTTTAACTAGTACTTTAATTTTAACATTTTTATTCAGCAATTATGTAATATTTATTTCATACTTTATTAATTAGATAATTGTTTAAACTTTTTTATTAATTAATTCTTTGATTGGAAAGACTTTATCAGAAATCTTAACTAAAAACGCATTTCTTTTACCACAGAATACGAATCAGACTTTTTTTTTTTTTGAATTTTATGAATTTAAAAAAAGAAAATTGTTAAGTTTTTCTCTAGATATGAGTTTGGTTAAAAAAAACAGGAGGGGGCAAGAAAAAATCAATAAAACGAAGCATTTCTCGTCGGAAAATTTTGAAATCGATAGAAAAATTCTGACTTACAATTGATTCCGTTCTGATTCACTGAAACTGTTTCGTTTTTTCCTCAAAAGACAACGGAGCAAAAAAAATGGCGTCTTCTTTTTCGTGTCGCTTTTCGCCAAGTGAAACCAGCAGCAAGGCGCTGTGACGTCATAGGATTTTAATGTATTTCATTGGACGAGAATAGTCACACCACTAGACGAGAGGGCGTTACCTGAGACAACAAGGGAGGGAAAAGTATGAAGATTTTTTAAGTGATAAGTGAAGGGAGGGAAGAAATGCCGAAAAAAACACACACAGACACACACACACACACACACACACACACACACACACACACACACACACACACATATGTCTTTCTCTCTCTCACACACACCTATGTTTTTTCTATCTCTCTCACACACACAGACACACACACACAATATTTATATATATATATATATATATATATATATATATATATATATAATTCTCCGGCAAGTGTGTATGAGATAGATAGATAAATAAATAATGAAATAATGAGAGAGCTAGCTCTAGTTAGTTACATAAATAGATAATGTTCGTTCATTCGGCACCCGTCCGTCTCGGGAGACGATGGAGAGTAGCAATATGGTGCGCTTACGAGCCTGGGGCGTGATGTATGGAGAACTAGGGCTGCCTGAACGTCTAGTTCCCCCTCTCGGCCTTGCTAGCAGAGTCCAACAAACGAAAGGATGAACCAATACAGTTTGGTACCAGCGCGGCTGCAGGAATTACCGAAAGGTAGCACAGAGTGCCGTCCATCCTCCTTAGGGGCTCCACTCCGGATTTACTGTAGGGTTTACAATACATTTACTCTTTAGACTTTTCTTCTTTCCACAAGGCAGTAGTGCTATTTTAACCCATAGCTGGGGTTTGGTTCATGGGCACGAGGGCGTTTCTACACACCTGTGGGTCTGCATGCCGCATGTTAAGGGGGCTAAACTCCTCGCCTGTCCCCTGTAGTTTAAAAAATTTCAACTTTGCTCTTTTGCCATGTGTCGACACCAGGAAAATGTACCATAGGGCTTGCTGATACAATTAAGGCTATATACTGGCAGCTTTTTTTTTTTCGGCTCCCCTTTTCTCATTGCTGCCAGCCAGCGGCGGTAGCTGAAAGCGAGAAGCGGCAAGTACTACCACTACAGACTACCACACTAGACGCATCACAACAGCCGTTGAGACACACGTTTTAGGTACGCCAAAATAGAATTTCTTGAATTTCTCTTGTTTTAAAATTAAAAAAAAAAAATTATTAAAAGTGAATATTAATCGGTAGGAAATTTCTTCCTTAATCTATTTTTAAAAGGATTTTTTAATTGGATGAATAGTGAATTGTATTTGCGATCTTACCAATCTTTGTCATCTGGGGTTTTTGTTAAACATTTTAAGCAAGCAAAAATAGGATTTCCTGAATAAATCTTGTTTTAAAATTTTAGTTTTCCATGGAAGTTTTTAAAAAATAAATTTTGATCGGCAGGAAATTTCGTCCTTAATATATGTTGAAAAGGATTTTTCGATTGGATGAATAGTGATTGTGTTTGTGATCCTATGGACACTTGTCTTTGGGGGACTTCGTTAAACATTTAGGCAAGCAAAAATAGGATTTCCTGAATTACTCTTGTTTTAAAATTTTAGTTTTCCATGAAAATTTTTAAAAAATAAATACTAATAGGTAGGAAATTTCTTCATTAATTTATGATGAAAAGGATTTTTCTATTGGATGAAATTTGAAAATTGTATTTGCGATCATATCGACTCTTGTCTTCTGGGCTTTTCGTTTGTGAATGCTGGTTGTGTTGAAAAGATTAATTTGGCTGCGTGTTGAAGAGCATTTAAAATTTTTTTTTAAAGCATTACGCTCCGAGCAAGGCGTGAAGCCATTAGGATGCAGGGGGTATGCAGAAGATTTGAAGCAAGAGCAGATAGGAGTGATAGAAGAAAGGATGAGGAGAAGGATAGTGGGTAGATCAAGGTAATTGGAGATGTCGATTGACATTACACTTGAATAGTTGGAGATTATAGCTCTCAGGGAAACAGTAATAGGGAAGGATGTTCCACAGGCGAGAGGTGCGAGGTATGAAGCTATTGGAGTAGAAGAGACGGCTACATTTAAAAGTTTCTACAGTGTAAGGGTGAGAGCGGGATGCCAGCCTCGTAGGGCGCTTGCATTCATGGAGTCTGGGAACCAGTGAGAGCAGCTCATCGGAGCAATTACCATGAAAGTATTTGTAGAAAAGACAGAGAGAGGCGACGGCGCGTCTGTGAGAGAGTGACTGTAGACGAGATGCCAGATCAGGGCCAATTATATTACATATCCGTCTCTGGATCTTGTCAAGACCTCCGAGGTAAACAGAAGGTGCACCAGACCATATATGGCAGCAATACCCCATGCAAGGGCGAATAGTTGATTTGTATATTTGAAGTATCGATTCCGGGGAGAAAATTTTCCTGGCGCGGCTCAGAGAGCCAACATTCCTCGCAGTGGACGAAGCAATTGATTCAATGTATTTGTTCCATCTCAGGTCAGCAGTCAACGTGAGACCGAGCAGACGCAGGGAGTTGCTCTCAAGAAGTTGATTATCAGACATTCTAATGGGGGCAGGGAAGGATCTCTATGGTGATTAATAGAGAGTAGTTTAGTTTTTGAGGCGTAAAAGTTGACCAGCCAATTCTTGCCCCAATTAACAACCGATTGGAGGTCCATTTCAAGACGCACGGCCAGGTTAGTTTTGTCACCGACACTAGATTTGTTTTTGAGACAGGAGTAAATTGTAGTGTCGTCCGTGTAAATGCCAACTTGGGAATTTATGGCGTCAGGAAGTTCGTTGATGAAAATAAGGAATAGAGTGGGGCCGAGGATGGAGCCTTGGGGAACACCTGCGTTCGTGAGATAGGAACTGGAGGAGAATCCGTTGAGAACGACCTTCAATTCACGGTTTGACAGGAATGATTGCATTAGGTCAAACAATCGACCTGTAATACCATAACCCTGGAGCTTGCGAAGAAGGCCGGCATGCCAAGCCCTATCAAATGCTTTGGAGATGTCTAGGGCCACGGCACGAGCCTCACCGTTATTTTGAAGGGCTTGGTAGACGGTTTCAGTGATGGCCATAAGCACATCAGCTGTAGATCGGGCATAGCGGAAACCATATTGCTTGTCTGAAAGCAGGTCGTGTGAGGTAAGGTGGTTAACCACTTCGGCATTGATTAGGGCTTCGAAGACTTTGCCGAAGAGGGGTAGGAGACTAATAGGACGGTAATTAGAGGGGTCAGAGGGGTCTCCAGAGTTCTTAAAGACAGGAACAATGGATGAGGACTTCCAGCAGTCAGGAAAACAGGAGGCATTAATTATACAGTTTAGAGAGGGCGGACGCTAGCCCAGGCGCGCATTTCTTCAAGACAATGGCTGGTATGCCATCTCCACCACTAGCCTTGTGGGGGTCTAAATTGGAGATAATGCCCAATACCAATGACGGAGTTATGTGTAACCCGCTCAATAGGGCCTCAGTTCTTAGAGGGAAGTCTGGTATGGGTACACCGGAGGAGTCGAGCGTTGAATTAAATGAGCATTCAGCCTTGTCGGTAGAGGAGGTCAGGACCTCGAAGTGGTTGAACAAAGGAGGTATGGAGGGTTTTCTATTATTCAGGACGCTCTTGCAGAGCCGCCAATAATCTTTGGAGCCAAATTTGCGAGATGCAATACGCTCCTTCATCAGAGTAGCAAATAGTGACTTAGCATCGTTGAGGACACGCTTACACTCGTTACGGGCAGAGGCAAAGAGACGTCTATTGCAGTCCGACATGTCGCTACGAAATAGGTTAAAGAAGTGGTTTCTAATATTTTATTTGCGATCTTATCGACCCTTGTCATCTGGGGTTTTTGTTAAACATTTTAGGCAAGCAAAAATAGGATTTCCTGATATTCTCATTTTTTGAAATTTTAGTTTTCCATGATAATTTTTCAAAAATGAATATTAATCAGCAGGAAATTTCTTCCTTAATTTATTTTTAAAAGAATTTTTCAATTGGATGAATTTTGAAAATTGTATTTGCGATATTATCGACCCTTGTCTTCTGGGGTTTTCGTTAAACATTTAGGCAAGAAAAAATAGGATTTCCTGAATTACTCTTGTTTTCAAATTTTAGTTTTCCATGGGATTTTTTAAAAATGAATATTAATCGGTAGGAAATTTCTTTCTTAATCTATGATAAAAAGGATGTTTCAATTGGATGAACAGTGAATATTGTTTTGCGATTTTATCAACCCTTGTCTTCTGGGGTTTTGCGATATATTTAGGTAAGCCAAAATAGGATTTTCTGAATTACTCTTGTGTTAAAATTTTAGTTTTCCATGGAAATTATTAAAAATGAATATTAAGGGTAAGGTAATGTCTTCCTTTATGTATGATGAAAAGGATTTTTCAAATGGATGAATAGTGAAAATTTTATTTGCGATATTATCGACCCTTGTCTTCTGGGGTTTTCTTTAAACAATTAGGCACGCCAAAATAGGATTTCCCGAATTAAACTTGTTTTTAAATTTCAGTTTTCCATGGAAATTTAAAAAAAAATGTATATTAATCGACATGAAATTTCTTTCTTAATCTATGTTTAAAAGGATTTTTCAGTTGGATGAATAGTGAAAATTGTATTATCGATCATATAGACCCTTGTCTTTGGGGGTTTTCGTTAGATATTTAGGTAAGACAAAATAAAGTTTCCTCTACTACTCTTGTTTTTACATTTTAGTTTTCCATGGAAATTCTTAAAAAATGAATATTAATCGATATGAAATTTCTTCCTTAGTCTGTTTAAAACGATTTTTCAATTGGATGAATCGAGAAAATTTTATTTGCGATCATGTCGACAATTCTCTTTGGGGTTTTCGTTAAATGTCTATGAAACCCGAAAAAGGCTTTCCTAAATTACTTTTGTTTTAAATTTTCAGTTTTCCGTGGAAATTTTTAGAAATAAATATTAATCGATAGGACATTTCTTCCTTAATCTATGTTTAAAAAGATTTTTAATTTGGATTTGCGACGATGTGAACCCTTGTCATTGGTGTTATCTTTATATATTTAAGCAAGCCGAAATAGGATTTCCTGTATCACTCGTTTA